ATTATATTTTTTTCTTACAATAATACATTTTTGTCTATTAACTTTCTACCATATATTATAAGAATGTTCTAGGAGGGATTTGAAGGTCATTTGTGCCTCCCTAGCAGTTGTTAGTGCACCTGAGCAGTCCTTAGCGGTCCGACAACTCTTAAAAAACATAAATTTTATCACTAAAATGATATTTTTTCTTAAAATAATACATTTTTTGTCATTAAACATACTACCTTGTATTATAAGAATGCCCTAGGAGGTATTTTAAGGTCTTTTGTGCCTCCCTAGCAGTCTTTTGTGTATCTGAGCAGTCCTTAGCGGTCCGACAACTCATAAAATTTTCACCAAAACCATATTTTTTCTTAAAATTAGAATTTTTTTTTCACTAAAAATAATACCAGGTAATATAAGAATGGCCTAGGAGGTATTTTAAGGTCCTTTGTGCCTCTTTAGTAGTCCTTTGTGGCTCCTTAGCAGTCCTTAGCAGTCCTTAGCGGTCCTTAGCAGTCCTTAGCAGTGTTTAGTAGGACCCGGAAATATCCCATGGCCAAATGTTCATAAATTCAAACAGCTTATGTCAACAAAAAATAAATTTAAACTTTTTAAAATAGCGAAATTTATAGATGAGTCAATGAAATGCCGAAACAATTATTTAGAATTTCTCACGGCTTCTTAACGAGTTCTTAAATCATTGTCTCTTAAGTATAAAATTGGTTGATTATTAACTTGTATTTTTACTATACATTTGTTTGATTATATCAGTGTAAAATGTTAACATGTTTATAGTTATATTGATGTTGAATGTCTTTGCCATATAGTGTATGTGTGTAAATGGCCAAAGACAATGTTCATTGTCGATTTGCCAATAAACTTGAAACTTGAATTATAATTATGTTAATTTTTAATTATAATCAGGGAGACCATTTCACAAGTTCATGAACTAAAGACAGTATAGAACGACGGCCTATCGAAATTATTATGACGAGAATAATTTATTCATCAATAAAGTAAATTTTAAACTGCGAGGATGCACACTTCTTTCGTAGTGCAATAGCGTATTATTACATATACGGACACGACCCAATCGTGTTCCACAATTTCAATGTCACAGGTTGCAAATACATTATATCAGGTTTCAAATTGAGGAAGAATACCAATTGAATATAAATATTTGCACGTTGCTAGATTCATTGCAATTCTATGTAAAGTTATTTCCAACTTTAACATTAAAATGCGTGTTTATTTATTCTTTTTCACATATTGATTTAAATAGAAACGTCATTATATCACGGGTAGAGGTAGTAATTGGCAGACAGTACCGATCACTAAAAACTAAACCGATAAAAATCGTCTGCTTAATTAAGGTAAATAGTTTTCTTTTTTTTCATATTATTTAGTTTTTGTTTTGTATCTTTATTATTGTAATGATATTTGATTGTTTTGAATACTAAATTGAAAATAGCAGTTTTGAAATAATATAATGGTTACTGTTTTGTCATCAAGTTACAAATAGTGGTCTATATTTGATTGAAAGTTCATCTGACTAGGTTTCTAGTTTTTAAGGCATCTAGAGGAAAAAAACACATAAAACTATAAAATGTGTGTCAATATTTGAGAAATCAAACGTTCAAAATTGTAAGAAATCAAAACAATCAGTTTATTTTTAGAGATTTGTATGCTTTTAAGTTTTTCTTTCGTTTTGAGTACCAGATCATTAAATTTGTAACTTGAGATACCAGGAACTGCGTCGTATCCTACAAAATGTAAACACACGCCGCCATCTTGGAACGAAAAACGTATTTTTTGATTATAACTATTTTGTTGGAAATGACTGAAAACCAGATATATGTATTAACACTCTACCCTTTTTTCCGCTTCGTTCTGTATATTATGTTGCTTGCGCAACTATTTTGTAAAACAAAAGTTATAGCGAACTTGCAACTCGGAGCGGAGCAGAATTTTTGTGAAAATGTGTGAATACGACGCAGTTCATATTGCTTTATCTATCGTTTTTTTTCCTTCAAATCAATTGTATGCTCGTTTCAGAGTTCACTATAAACTTCAAAATATGATTTTGCATCATTTACTAAAATTTCATTAAAAAGAGATGTTTATTTCCCAAGAAAATAATGATTTTTACGAAATGATACGACGCAGTTGAAAATAAAATATGATACGACGTAGTTGTATTTTCATTGGTTCAGCTATTAAATTATGTGCTAGGTATGCTTAAAACGTCCAACAACATTTCTTTTTTACAACTTAAGTCAAAAGCAGAGGTCACTCATTGGTTCCACAAAAAATGGAAAATGTAATAAAAATTCCATTAAGGCTTCATTTTTCGGTCGCATCTTTAGTTCCTGTCATAAGCATCTACAAATTCCGAAAAGCTGTGTCAAATGCAATATACATTGAAACACGTGATCGCATACTGTATGCGTTCCGTTCAGTCATTTTATGTTCAGCGCCGCGGAACTTTACCCCGATTTTGTCGTATTGCATTTCTTTATCGCCGATTAGAACAGGTCTACGAAATGTATTTTCTATTTTTGCACTAAAGTATCATTCTTCTCCATTAAAAAACTTTAAATTTTCAAAATCGAGTTACAAATGATAAAACTACAAATTATTTTGTAAAGCAGGTGTCCGTTTTGCAAAGGTATTTTACGCCTACCACCGGTAAATTTGATACAGATGTACGATCCTGCGCATCGGTCGAATGTTCCACTATCACTCACTGTCTGAAGTAACGTGAGTGTATTCGGTGAGCTGCGAAGGGAGCGTAGACAGGATGTTTCAATAGTATTGAAGAAGTTTTCACTATATGAAGAGAAAATTTAGGTCAGATTATCGCATCAAATTTTCCACAGACTAGAGACATGACTTCTAAACATACCTTCAAACCAAAGTTTGATTTTTATTTGAAAATGAATTGCTTGAAAAATTGAATAAAATTTTTCAGAAAATGACTTCAAAGAGGATTACCCCCTGTTTACATGCTATTTGAACCGAAATATCAAAGTAAAAAAATCTTAGAGATTAAGGAAATATTTCAATTCAATAATAAAGTTAAATGTTATTGTCTTTATAATTAATTCAAATATTTATTATCTTAAAACTTCACGCCAGAAGTTAATAAAAAACAACTAAAACTGCTTATTTGTACAGCTGACGTTAACACGTTGTTGAAACAAGATTGCATTTGTGAAAAATGCTTTGCCACCGCATTGATACAACACTAAATAGTAGTGTAGGAACAGATTTATTTTTGTTTCTATCCAATTGAAGATTGTCATAATGCATGGATCCCTGACCTATCTAATTCTTATTATCAGATTAGTGGTTAAATCCAATAAAAGAGCAGAGTAGGAATATATCAATGCACTTGAGTCTAGTGAATTTGGTGGTGAAGGTCATATTTCACACAGCCTAAATTTAATGACTACATCAAAGGACAACACAGTAAGACACTTTGTCAAAATCTAGGTCAGCTGATATCAAAGTTCACTTTACATCTTAATCTGTGCACATGGTTCAAATTTCATAGCTGTACATCAAAGGACAAGAAAGTAGGTCACATCATCAAAATCTAGGTCACCTGATATCAAAGTTCAATTTTACAACTAAAACTGTGCACATGATCAAAATTTCATTGCTGTACATCAAAGGAAATGAAAAGTAGGTCACTGTCCCCTTGGGCAAGGCAAAATTTTGACTTAAGGGTTTAATTCAAAACAATCTTGATACAGGTCCACCAAACAACATTTTAAGTCAAATATCTAAGCTGTAGCTTTCTCCCATTCAGAAAACATTTGTTTTATTTTCTGTGTTTACTATGTGTACATAATGAGAATCACTGCCCCCGGGTAGGGCTAATTTTAACACCAGGGGAAAAATTTGAACAACTTTGATAGGACCTATAGATGATATTATACACCAAATATCTAAGCTCTAAGCCTTGTACCTTCAGACAAGAAGTTTTTTTTTACTATATGTACATAGTGAAAATCAATGACCCCTGGGGTAGGGGCCAATTTTGACCCCAGGGCTATAATTTGTACAATCTTGCTAGAGGTTCACTACACAATGTTTCATGCAAAATATCTTAACTCTAGCCTTTGTAAATTCAGAGATAATTTTTTAAGTTTTTACTATATACATATAAGTAAAACCTATGGCCCCCGAGGCGGGGCTAATTTTGACACTAGAGGCAATATCTGAACAACTCTGGTAGAGTACCTATAGATGATATCATTTAAAAAATATTAAAGCTCTAACCCTTGTACCTTCAGACAATAAGATTTTTTTTTATTTTTTACTATATTTTTATATTGAAAATCAATGACCCCCGGGGCGGGGCCGATTTTGACCCCAGCGCTATAATTTGCACAATTTGGGTAGAGGTCTAATAGACAATGCTTATGCAAAGTATCTAAGCTCTAGGCCTTTTGGGGCTTAACAAGAAGGTATTTTAAGTTTTTACTATATGTACATATAGTGAAAATCAATGACCTCCGGGGCGGGTCCGATTTTGACCCAAGGGCTATAATTTTAACAATCTTGGTAAGGGTCTAGAAATAGACAATATTTATGCAAAATATCTAAGCTCTAGGCATTTTGGGTCTTAACAAGAAGGTATTTTAAGTTTTTACTATTTGTACATTATTAAAAAAATTATGATAGATTAAGTAACATGTTCATGTTTAACTGTAAAGTAGCATCCGCAATGTAAACTTTCAAATTAAATGTTATATTGGACATGACACAATGTATTTTGAATAATCAAAAGCAACAGAACATCGCTATACACCGAAAATAACCTGCGTTTTTTATCTAGCGCAAGTGGTTATTCCATAAAATAGACATATATTGCCAAAATAATGCCTGTTGAAAAGACTGCCAAAAAATACAACTGCGTCGTATCATATTTTATTTTCAACTGCGTCGTATCATTTCGTAAAAATCATTATTTTCTTAGAAAATAAACATCTCTTTTAAATGAAATTTTAGTAAATGATGCAAAATCATATTTCGAAGTTAATGGTAAACTCTTAAATGATTATATAATTTATTTGAAAGAAAAAACGATAGATATAGAGGATATTTGTTTGGTTTAGTGTAAGATCGGAATTTATTTAATTTTACCCATGAAATATGGTGCTATATCAGTCAAATATATTTCATATTTTTTAAAAATAAATATGAAATATAAATATGAAAGTGGGCGGAGTCAAAACTCATATTTATTTTACGGAACTTCTTTCGCCGTTTTGTTTGAAAAAACTGATAAATACAAAACAACTTTTTCTTGAATTTTGTTTGTAAAACTATCTAGAATGATAGAAAATGGTCTAACTAAGAAAATTAATCCGAACGCCAATATCTTTAATTCAGTAATTAACGCTGTACAGACGTTTAAAGAGTTGTTTACATGACGTCACAATGTAACGCCAAACAGCGCGTGCTTACGCATGAATTACTGCGCGCTGTACAATTGCAGTTGATAGCAAGCAAGGGGTTTCGTTACCATTTTCTTTGATGATGAAATTAAATAAAAAGGTTATTTTTTCGTTTTTCGTGAAATATGGTGTATATTTTCACTCAACATGATAAAATGCCACATATTTTCACTCGCCGTACCGGCTCGTGAAAATATGTGGCATTTTATCATGTTTCGTGAAAATATATTCCATATTTCACTCAAACGAAAAAATATCCTCTTAATATTTCACCGAGTGAGCACCAAAAGGTATATTTCACGAGTGGCGCAGCCACGAGTGAAATATGAACTTTTGGTGTTCACAAGGTGAAATATATTTCAATCTTACACTAAACTAAACAAATTTTCTTTTTATTACATGCAAAGAAACGTTTTAAAAAGACATTTAGCCTAATACTGAATGAAAAGCGCGCCAAATAATAATACAACGTGACGTCATTTACGACGTCACGTCATTAAGTTGGTACCCAGTACTGTGCACGCTTGTATTTCACTGAAACAACGTAAGGGGCTTAAATTCAAAACAGTGAAATTATCAAAGTGGTAATTTCACTGTTTCAAACAGTGAAATTACCAGTTTTATATCACTGATATATTTCTATAAACCACCGAAAAGCATGTAATAAAAAGCAATATGAACTGCGTCGTATCCACACATTTTCATAAAAATTGTGCTCCGCTTCGAGTTGCAAGTTCGCTATAACTTTTGTTTTACAAAATAGTTGTGTAAGCAACATAAACAGAACGAAGCGGAAAAAAGTTTAGCTTGTTAATACATATATCTGGTTTTCAGTCATTTCCAACAAAAAGAGTTATAAACAAAAACATACGTTTTTCGTTCCAAGATCATGAAGATGGCGGGGCTTGTTTACATTTTGTAGGATACGACGCAGTTTTGATTCCCAGCCCTGGATACCAAGAGCGTAAATATTTCTGGCATAAGGACAATTAAAGCTGTATTTTATTCTTTACTTTGAAGAAATAGAACAGAAATAAACAAATCGCAACAACAACAACAACAGAATAACAGCAGTCAAGCAAATAATTATTTTACTAAAAGAAAAAAGAATAAGGTAAACAAAAAAATAAAGCAAAAACAAAATCTAACAAAAACGCAAAATAGATAACAAAACAAACATGAAATGAGCCGCGTCACGACAAAACCAACATAATGGGTTTGCGACCAGCATGGATCCAGATCAGCCTGCGCATCCGCGCAGTCTGATCAGGATCCATGCTGTTCGCTCACAAACTCTATAACAAGTAGAGAAACTGATAGCGAACAGCATGGATCCTGATCAGACTGCGCGGATGCGCATGCTGGTCTGGATCCATGTTGGTCGCAAACCCATTATGTTGGTTTTGTCATGACGCGGCTCAAATTACTACTATACATTGTATATAAAGACTTAAGAGCCGTATGTAATAAAATATATAAAACAGCTATGTATGTTTTTATAATGCTGTTAGAATATTTTGTGTATGGTACCAGTAATTGATTTTGCTTCTGTCAAAGGATGTATGGTGGCAAGTACGGCGGAAGGGGAGGAGCCTATAACCGTCACGAGTCACGCGCGCGTCCGCGTGAAGATTTCATGTCGAGCTATGAGGAGTCTTACATGAGAGGCTCAGACCGCTATGGAAATTACAACTCAACGTCCTCATATTACGGAAGAGGTATTGTCTGTTATTTTATCGCTGGTTTAATCATCAAAAGGCAATATATTTGGCAAACTAACTAACGTATGAATTGTATGCTATCATTTCTTTATCCATTTTTTTTATTAAAGAATGTTTTGCATAATAGTTATTATTAAGTTTCGCAAGCAGGAAGATATATATATATATATATACTTGTACATATACTGAACTTAATTCATTTTGCCTTTTAAAAATTAATACTCGTATATCATTTCATATAATTATAGATACCTATACTTTATTGTTATGTGTTATTTTACAGGAACTGGAGATCTAGAAATGTCTGGTGTTGACCTATATATACAGTATAACACACGGGCTCATCATACAAACGAGTTTGATATCACAGATGGCACGGTATATGACAGTCGGGAAGTTCTCGTTGTACGACGTGGTCAACCATTCTACATGAAAATCACGTTAAATCAACCCTACAATCCTGCAAAAGACAATCTACGACTGGTTTTTCTATTTGGTAAATAACAAACAACAGTATATGATATAGTTAACATAATTCAATTTATTCTGGACAAAAATAATGACTTATTAGTTGATTAGTTCAAAAATATTTCTAAAATCAATTTAGATGTTAACCGCCTTGTCAATTTTTGAGAGGTCCGGTGAATTACGCGCTACCTTTTGCATTGAGAATTCGACAGCGTGTCATTCCAATATAAATGTTTAAATGAGTTTAGAATTGAGCCTTATTCTCAATATACTTTTTGCCGCTTTCTTAATATCCGAAGGATTGAAGTGTGTAAATTTTGAAGACATACTTGCATAATGTTTATGAAGAAATTAAAGAATATAATATTATGAAGATTATATATGTGTTCTATTGTAGGTAAGAACCCAAACCCTGCGCGCGGAACACAAGTTGAACTCTACCTATCATCAGATTCAAGACATGATGCTGGGGGATGGGGTATAAATATTGAGGCCTCAGATGGCACATCTGTGACGCTTTCTGTGTCTGCCCCGCCCACATGTTTAGTTGGAAAGTGGTATCTGAAAGTAGACTTGTTAAAGGAAGGCGGCAATACGAGAAACAACATGAAAAGATACGATCACAAAGATCCGATATACATTCTATTCAATCCATGGTGTAAATGTATGTATCGTTTTAAGCTAAACAAATTTTAAATTAAATTTCGACATATAACGCCACCACTTGTCGTGTGATACTAGTACATGATTGAAGTATATTACCATTTTGAAATATAAGTATCAGATACGAAAATCATCTGAAATTAACAAACGTATACGAGCTATGCACGAATTAAACAAGTGATACAAATGATTTTCTATTTACTTTTTGGACAATTTAATTGGTCAAAACAAGGTCCACCTTTAACACTTCACGTGACTTAAAGAACCCGACTATGTCGGAAAACTTGAAATATTTTAAGATAACTGAATGGTCGAGCACATCTGAAAAGGCATTTTCATCGCATTTTTATTCTATTCATTAAATAACATAAAAACTTATTGGATTAAAACAAAACTGTTATGAAAGTCCGAGTTTGGAGATGACCTGTTTGTACATTATAAGTATTATACCTTTAGATTATATACTAATATTTTTAGATGATCAGGTGTTCATGAGCAACGATGTATTGCTTGGAGAATATGTATTGAATGAGACGGGCAAGATATACAATGGTAGTTTCCGAAATATCTCTTTCATGCCGTGGAACTTTGGGCAGGTAAAATGTTTTACGTCATCATGTGCTTGAATTGCTATAGTTGCAAACGAATAAAATGGAGTGTATCATTAAAAATTTCAATGCCAAAATCTCGGGAAAATTTACGACAGATGGTCGTTGGCATACTGGAGGTTGGACTTTCAACTGCAGAGGTGGCAGCTCGTGCTGGGGCATCCGTGCAATCAGTCAGAACCCTTTGGCGACGATTTGCGCAAGGGACTAATCATTGGGCTGCAAACCGCACGTCAAGACTCTAGCCAAAGACCGTGTTACCTTGAACCGGCACAAACGCGATTGCTATTGAGAAGAAAACAGCTATAGCTAGCACTACACCACGGTTCTCCGGCATTGCATGCGGCGGTCCACGCGTATATGATCATTATCTTTTAAAAGCGCATCCTGCCAAACAATCAAATTGAATATCTGTCCAATATGCAGATCTGAAATATATGTACGCTATAATTTTAACCGTTTTGGTAAAAAAAAAAAATTTGGTATATTACTACGCTACTATATCAGTTATTGACATTTTAAGGTGTGCAAGCTATGTGATAATATGTGTTGAAAATTTCATTTAATTATATATAGTATGTTTTCGGTTATGTAATTGCATTTTTACTCGAATTCCCTTACTTTCTGCAGTTTTCAGGCAAAGTTCTCGATTGTGTTATGTACCTTCTTGACGAGGTGTCGAACCTTCCTGAACATCAGAGAGGAGACGCAATCAAAGTTTCCCGAATAATCTCCAGCTTGGTAAGTTTCTGTTTGTGTTTCTGACTGTCTTGTCTGTTAAGAGCATTACCCACGCCTTGTTCCTCTTGCGTCGACGGCGTCCATGTTACTGTAATGCATTTTTTACGTAAATTCTATACACATACTTGCCATTTCTCATATTGTTTCCATTTACGCCGATTAAAGCGCCTTTTGTCAGGTCATATTTTAAGTCGAAAATAATTTCATAATGTGAATAAAATAAAGAAAAATAACGCGATAATTTTAAATCGACCTGTCTATTTCAAATCGAAATCAGGTGAATAGTAGTGACAACAATGGAGTGGTGGTCGGTAATTGGACTGAACGGTATCAAGGGGGCGCTTCACCAATGTCCTGGACCGGAAGTGTTGATATTTTGGAACAATATTACAAGACAAAACGACCCGTGAAATACGGTCAATGCTTCATATTTGCTGCAGTTGTTGCAACAGGTATTTATGAACTGGAAGAAAATATGAACATTTTCAACCTTTCCCACACTCTTTGTATGTCTGCTGAATATAATATAGTATATGAATAAACATGTTTTACTAAAGGGTCTTATTTTTATATAAATAACAATTCATATTTTCGTCTGTATGTAGTTATGTCTATTATTTTGATACTATAAATCAATCTAATTACGGGGTACGAACAATTTCTTTACCATTATAGCTTTACTATGTACTACCATTCACAATAGGGAGATCAATGCTATACCAAATTGTAACTGTTTAAGTCCTGGGATTTAACGGGGAAAAAAAACCTCATTTGCCGAGTTCCGGAGTATATCTATATCTTAATCAAATATACACCGTAAATCATGTGAATATTTTATATCATTTGACTATTTTATATCATGTAATATTGGTATTGAGTGCTTGTAAGATGGTGAACTTTGTGTAAATCTTCATCCTTTAACCTGTTGGAACCGAGAGATCAGTCATCTGTGCAGTCGGACCTGGCTCCTGTATAATTTTATATCTTTATATTGAAATCCTTCCACAATCCAATATACTGTTCAAAATTCAAAGTAAGGTTAGCAATTATGCAAATTCAGCCGGTTAAGGGTTAATAAAATGCCTACTCTGTTCTGAATATAACCTACCTTACACTCATGTTTCAGTATGTAGAGCTCTTGGTATACCTGTAAGATGTGTAACCAACTATAATTCTGCTCACGATAAAGACGCAAATTTGACAATAGATAAATATTTCAACAGAAAGTTTGAAGAAATAGAAGAGCTGAATAAAGATTCAATTTGGTAAGTAAGCATATGTAAAATTTCAAATACGGACTTTTATTGATACTAAAGCTAGGTCTTAAATGAAATGGACAGAAAAATGCTTTGACACTGCAGACAGTGGTTTGAATATACTGGAAGCAGATTTAGTTACATAAAAGTTACGTATTGGTTAATAAAATAAATGTAGGTAATGCAAAAAGTCTTATAAAACTAAACATTCTGGAAGCTGAAACAATTTAATATACCAGTTATCAGTACCACTTACTGTAAGCCCAAAATTTCTTTATGTTAGGCACTGTTTCTGAAATACTTATCCCAATCAGCCAATATTTCATCTTTTGAATATTACAAAGCTGCTGCATTATTATTCGGTATATTGATGTGTAGGGAGGCCATTATTTTTATGGTCATTGTGTTCTGGGCGAGTCACGTTTTTCTGTGAAGACTTACATGGAAGATTGAAATATTATTTAAATAGAAGTTTACCATATGAGCCGCGTCATGACAAAACCAACATAGTGTGTTTACGATCAGCATGGATCCAGACCAGCCTGCGCTTCCGCGCAGTCTGATCAGGATTTATGCTGTTCGCTATCAGTTTCTCTACTTGCTATAGGGTTTATAAGCGAACAGCATGGATCCTGATCAGACTGTTGGTTTATGTTGGTTTTGTCGTGACGCGGCTCATATTATGATTTGTAGGAATTTCCATGTGTGGAATGATGTGTGGATGACTCGACCGGACCTTCCAGCAGGCTATAATGGTTGGCAAGCCATAGATGCCACACCCCAAGAAAAGAGTAAAGGTATGGAATAAACATGTATAAATGAGAAACTTACTTTGTTTTCAGATTATCTATCTCTGTAAACTATATTTAATATTGTTTACACAAAGTCAACAATAGTCCAAAAAATATACACGCAGCTTCCAAAGTTGTTGCAATAATAATAATAATAATAATAATAATAATAATAATAATAATAATGATAATGATGATAATAATAATAAAATAAATAAAATAAACACGTCACATTTTGATGAATTAATGTATCATTAATTACTGTGCCTAAACCAGTGTGTGTTTTTTAAAAATATTTTCTATAAATTAGTATTTTCACTTTCGTTCAATATACAGTCTCTTTAGTCAGGCGCATCTGATTTGAGATGTCTGTTGTAGCATAAGAATTATCTTTATTTAATGATGGTTACCCTATAATAAGTTAACTCGATACTTGTACTATGTTGTCTTTGCATGGTTTATGCCCGTGTAAACCATTTAAAAATAAATCTTTTATTCAGGTATCTACTGTATGGGACCAGCGTCTTTGACAGCTGTTAAAAACGGACACATACGTCTACCGCATGACGCACATTTTGTGTTTGCCGAGGTGAACGCTGATAGAATAATGTGGATGGGTGTGTCTCCGCACAATCGACGAATGATAAAGAAGGAGACAAATTGGTATGTAACATGTGATAAAAAGAAATATTAAAACCGTGTCTATTGTTTGATCTCATGTTTGATCTCACACGAGAACTGATTCAATGATGAGAAATGAGGTTGATATGACGATAATATGATGAAAACCAATTTGGTAGAAAAATGCGACCACCTGTGTGTACCTCATTTTTGTAATGCAATTACTATTAAAATACTAAATGTGACTCAGTTGTATATCATTTATGACTTTAGTAACTGATCTGCTTACTTGACATGCCATGTATAAACTTAGACATATTACCAGTAATTGTAGGTGGAATTTAAATTATGAGTTTCAACTTTTATCAGCTACCCTTGAGTTTGCCGATAGAACATACTATAGTCTATATTATCTTGATGTTTTAAAGGCACCGGAAACATGTCAACATTTTTTGTTTTGTTATTTTATTCATAATGTCAATGTTTTGCATGATTCTCAGGGTCGGCCAGTTTATGAGTACAAAGAAACCGCTGTCACTAACTGAGACAACCGATTGGAGGCGTGGTCTAGATAGGGAAAGAGAAGACGTTACATACCAGTATAAGTTCAAGGAAGGTCAGAAAAAAAGTTAAATTAATTGATAATGAACATAAAGGAAATATTCTTATACAATGCAATGTATATTTATATTAATTTCGATACTATGTAAAATAAAAAATAAAATGGCCATTCATATGTTGATCATTTTTTATGTTCAATCATTGATATACATATTCTTTGATAGGTTCGCCAGAGGAACGAGCCGCCGTAAAACGAGCAAACGTTCATAAAACGAACGACGACGTTTTCGGAGATACCAGCAAGAAGGTAGCTCATGATTTTTATCTTTCTTAAGTAACTGCGATAATCATGGCAGTATCGGGTAAAGAAAAAATATCGATGTATTATTTTATTTTTTTTCTAATGAAGATGTTGAAGGATTAAGTTTATTGGTTAATAATCGTAGTTGAATGATAAGTTTCACATTTTGATGAATGATATGACAATACATAAGGGAATAATCGGGCCTTAATATATCTGAAGTAAGTAGAACAAATTGTGCCCTAAAGATAGCAATTTAAACAAAGTAGTATTTTGACTTCTGTGCAAAATATCATTTTATTATAATTATACAAAAGAGCAAAAGAAGCAAATTTCATGTATATGGCCAATGATTAACGTTTTAGAAACTGTAACGTATGGAAGCCCTGGAGGGACATTTGAAATTAATATCTAAAACTTAAAACTTATTATTTAATTCTTAATATTTAAAATTTAATTCTTAATATTCAAATATTAAGAACATAATACATAAGACGCGGGTATTTGAATTCAACGGTCTCTTGCAAAAGGTTGTTACACGAAATAAAATTGGCAAATTCGATATAGCTGCTTACAGGTAATTGTCATTTTTTATTTATATACAATAAACATTCCGAGAAATATTATATCTCGATTATTATATTTTCATGCTAACAGTTGAAACCATTAAGATATGTTATTTTTATCATGGTGCCGCTTTACATTTTATTGACTACATGGTGTCAAAAGCATGCAGTGGTTGAGAAAATTTACCAATATATTTTGTTCTGGTTGAAGTTTTAAAAGTGACAGCAATATACCTGCTTGGCAGGGGTTAGGTTTGTCTAACGATAATGTTTAGTTGTTGGTGGTGGATAACAATATTACATGTTTACAGCCCCAGCCCTTTGTTTTTATAACGCTATATTTCATTTCTTTATATTTCTTTTGAGGTCGTAAACATGGAGATCCCGTTGCTGCTTGCCGTTATCATTTTATTGAAAGTGACTCCTGTATCAACAAATGTGTCATCCCTATTGCCATCTGGAAACGGAAGCACCAGGTTAAAAGTGATTACGCAGTACTTTCATGGTGACTTCAAGTACGCACAAATTGTTTTCCCACAACATACGTCTTGGTCTCCGTCAGTTAAAGAGGATACTGCGTTGTAACTATTACGGGCGTCACCGTGTCATATTTACTCCAAAAGAAGTAGGGAAAGAATTGCAGTTTAGTGGGGACGGCTTATGGTACCAAGGTGGATGAATACGTTGAAGGATTTGAAAGCTCGTGGACGAATTGATACGTCAAACCCTATTCATGCAAAATGCTTTCGATTTTATTTAGCGAATGTTCTTCAAGCAGGACTTTATCGCATTGTATTCACTAGAATTTATACAATGTGCGACCACAGAAGCATGTAGACATGTGCACTTGTATTGGAAGACCAGAAATAAAATGTTGTTAAATGTAATAGAACTTTCAGGTTCTACTGATTATGGTGTTAATGCTGATTTGTAGGATATTGAATATGAAACAAATCCAGATGTTTGAACGTTAGACAATAATTTATATACTTTTTAATGAATAAACATTGATGTTCATAGTTTTCAGAAGTATGTGCTTTTTATGTTTAACTGCTAGTTAAAATTTCAAGGCCGATCTCGAGTTCGCTTTACTTATTGTTAGAACAGGTCAAATGTCAAACGGAAAAAATAATAATAAAAGAACTTAAACACGAGACCTCTCTTGAAACATTCTGATTCTACATTGATGATTGCATGACAAATCTGACTTAGAATAAACATTGCTAGAAATCTTAGTAGACCGTATGTAGGAAATTAGAAAATAAACCATGTGAGCTTTTTGTAGGCAGTACTAAAAACTTGCCAAATATTCTCCAGAAGGGATCAAATTTTAGCGCTTTTTAACCCCAAAAGACAATGATTCAACTTTGATCTACATATATGATCTATGATAAGTTTACAAGTTGTTCCAACTGAAAAAAAACATGTAGTGTTCAAAATATTTTTCTTTAATTTGACCTATTTTTACCCCATATGACCCAGATTCAAACTTGACCTAAAGATTATCCACACAGATATTCTCATAAAATTTTAAGTTGTTCAAGTTGAAAATACAGCATTTATAGTGTTCTCTATGTTTTTCCTTGATTTCAACTAGTGACCTAGTTTATGACCCCAGATAACCCAGATTAAAAATTGACCTAGAAAATCAATTAGATAAACATTTTGAACAATGTTGATGAAGATGGGATACAAAATGTGACCTGTAATGTGTTCACAAGGGAAATGTTGAGAAACACACCGACAGACGACACACAGTGTGCAATGACAGTAGCTCACCTTTAAGATGAGCTAAAAGGCATAAGATATATCAGATTTTCTCTTTATTGAGTTAAGCACAGAGCTCAATTCATTTCTGAACAGTTGTCAATGCAAATTGTTATGCATCTAAAATGTTGTTTTAAAATAAACTGGCCAACAAACGTTTGTATACTACTGTTTGATCCACTAAGTCTGTGACAAGCTTTACCCCATCTATATTTTGTTTATTTTGCGTTTATTTAAAAAAAACTCTAACATTTGTGAGCTAAAATGGCTGAAATTAACAATGACGAGAAAACCCCATCATTTTCGACATTTTTAAAAACAGTTGGTTACAAGAAATTGATATCTGGTCACAGGTTCCATGATAAAAATAGTAGTACAGTACTTTGACAACTTTGGTATCATCCCTTATGCTACTGTTGCCAAAGTAACGCAAAATAACTGTTTCCATCAAATGGAAAATGTTCCTTTTGATTTTCCTGAGCATTAAGCATTTTCACTGATTTTACAGTGCAGTCAGCAGGTAAACCATTCAGTTATGCACTGCTATTTTCAGACAAATAACAGCAAGAAAAGTATGGATGATCATATTTGTTTCCATTACCGATGGCGTATAGATAGGTTATAGTTGTTTGTTAAAAAAGTATAATTAAAAAATAAGGCAGCAAAGTCAGTGTAACAACTTTTACTCTTTTATTACAGTGACTTATAAAAGTACAAAATCAAAGCTAGGTATCTACACTCATCAATGAATAATCGCTTCGGGTCAAATTTCCAATTGATAACAATTTGGGGTAACTACCTACAGCATACAACATACAAATGAAAGGGTATTCATTCAAAAGTTAAAAACATAGCAAGTTTTGCCATGTGGGTGAGAACTGAAGGCTCAACTAGGCAAACTCAACAAAATGATTATTTTTCAACTAAATAGAACAAGCACTGTCACTAAAAATAAACATATGCCACAAATGCGCTTTAAGCATTTGGCAGGTACAAAAAACTAACCTTTTACATTGATAAAAGTATTTAAGAAGCAAACATTCTTATAATAATTACATCATCATCTATAATTGTCAATTAGTTTGTATGTTTATAATTATCAAAGGGTTACAACATATATGTCAGTTGTATACAATTTCAAATGAAAACAGAACAACGATTGATACCACTACAAAATAAATTTCCGTGTATCAACCATTTTTAAATGAATGTTATAATCATTTTACCAAGAGCCAAACAATTTCTATTATTATCATCAACTTAATAACTAAATATTGATATGGCCCATTCAATACAAAATGTTGCTGCGATGAAGCTTCTGAACAATTATAAACGTTTCCATCTCTTTCTAGGAAGACTGTGTTCTGTACTTCTGTTCTAGAAACCACATACCCATCTTCAAACGGATCACTTTCATGAATTATCTTTTTCTGGACTCCCAGACGCATTAAAGCACCGCGATATTGATTGGAAAATACTTCAGATTGTTCTTCAGAATGTATTGAGTGCTTAATTTTGCTGTACTTTATGTTAATAGTTCTGTCGCCCTTTTCTACAGGGACTCCATTTATCATGAAACTTTTGTTCTCCTTTTTTTTTATCTCAGGTATATATGGCACTGTGACGCATACAAACTGTTAGCTCCTAAATACTCTGTGAAACTGCATGGATTTTGGTCAACATCAGTATAACTGTCAATCACTTGTCCTGATGCTTAAGCCAATGACAAGTCGTAGTCCTTCACACTGTCCATGTTACTTTCTCCGTCCGGGAAATAGTTACTTAGCGCTTGATATCTTATTCTTTCTACTGCCAGACTTTCCCCAAATGTGTAATACATCTCGCTCGCTTATCCACCTTTTGCTTCAGTATCAACTCTGTACTTTCAATCTCGATAGTTCTGCCATCCCATTTTCATTTTATATGCACTGCTTTGTCCTCTGCCTAAAATATATTAAAGCTTTTATTAACAACCAATTTCATACAATTTTGGCATAGAGGGACATACTCTATAACTGATGTCAAACTAAACAACCTCCAAAACTTAAATAATAGAATCTTTTAAAATATTATAACTTAAATTAAAAGTTTAAGCTATACATTCCAAATCATTATCGATAAAATCAGCTGTTAAAATATGTTTGCAGTACAATGTACTGTAAAAATAATCTATGTACAGTTGTTGCTGTACAATTAATTGGTTGAAGCAATTTATTTCAGAACGCCTCTAAATTGATAAATTGAGGTAAAATGAGGTTTCGTTCAGCATAGATTCTTCTTTGACATTGTATTTATTTATCATTAAAACACTCCTCTTAAAATCAAGGCTTTTCATTTAAGATTTACAGTACCTAAATCCACAAGGACAGCGTGTCCAGCCTGCTTGATTGTAATGTTTATTTTATAGCAGACGCTGTGAACTGCATCAAAAATGGGCTATTCAATGTAGGTACAACATGAAATTAACTGCTAATAATAACAGCTCCTTCCATAGGCCAAAATAAAAAGCATTCCATAAGAGACGACGCCGCTCACCGGCATCGCCAATAAACAAATGTGAACAAATGTACCAAGTTATTTTATATTCCCCTCAGCCCAATTCTGACCTTTAACCCCTTCAATCACGGATTGTCTTTTGAAATAAATAAATTAACCCGCCCAAGCCAGTCCTCACCATAAAATTACGTGTGTGTGCGTGTCCTAGTGTGATTTAAAACAGTTTTTCTTGTATATAAAGTCCAACTTACTTTACTTCCTTCGCTACTCGTATTCTCGCTGCCGCTACTTGTGGCGTCAATCTGTCAACGGAATGGTTTCCCGCGTCCATTTTTAATGATAAGATTTAATTATTAAATATTAAAAATTTAATTTTAAATATTAAGAATTAAATTTTAAATAATAAGTTTTAAGTTTTAAATATTAATTTAAAATGTCCCTCCAGGGCTTCCATAGTAACGAGATACCAAAAAAAAAAGAGGTTTTTAAGAGAGAAATAAAAAAAATTCATCTACATTTAATTTATTTCTTAAACAGGATGATGTTGCATTTGAACTAAAAGCTGACAATAACACTTTCATTGGCCAGCCATTGAACGCTGTGCTGATAATAAAGAATCTGAGTAAGATGACTCGGACAGTTGGCGGACACGTCAGTATAAAATCAGTATATTACACTGGTGCTACATGCAGAGAGGTTTATAAGGAAGATGTTCCAAAGACATCCTTGAGAATGGATGAAGGTAAGTTGGTACATATAAGGTAATTGATATGTAATCATTCTAGGTAACGAAATAAAAACTTGGACATCTATTTTATAAAGTGTTCTCAAATTAAATTACACATTAAATTGGAGAATAATGTCCCTAGGTTATCAAGGTGCTACATCAACACAAAACGTATCTCTGAAAAGGAATAAGGACAAATAAGGTCGATCATGACAGGATTCTCGTTAGATAACTTATTTTCTAGATGTTTAAACTCGTAAAACCGACGTCTTATTGGAGCTGTAAATTATTGCCGCTTTCTTCACCTCAGTGTTGTTCTGGTCGTTTAGGATCATTGAAATTTCGAAAAATTTTAGTGTTGAGGATTGAATATTTCTTAAGCCAGTACAATTTTGCGTAGGAGATGTTGCACATCCTTTTTCTCCCAAACAGAATTTGCTATTATCACCTTCGTCTTGTCTTTGCTCTCAAGGGAACTTCCTTTGCCGAGGGTTGAATATAAATGACATTGATCTTTAACGAGATTATTGCTATGATCGTTACCAGAGTCATACAATCCCGTTACCTAAATTCAACCACTTTCTATGAAAAATGCTCAAACGTTTTTGCTTATTGAAGATAATCATTAAACTGTCAATTTGGTCACATGCCCTGGTCTAGAAAGAAATTGCATAAAGCTGTTAGTTTATAGAATGAACATGACCAAAGACACACAAAGACACTAGATAAAGTAAACCCTTATGCTCAAGTGAAGTTATAGATAATAAATTATAGCCTTCTTAGGTAATTATTCTATAAATATTTTCATTTACCATTACAACTTTGTCAATTCTACTTTGTTCTAGATAAAAGATTTCAAATAGAAGTCCCAGTAAGATATTATTTGGAAAAGTTAACCGACCACTGTTTTCTTAAGATAACATTTTCCTGCATGGTTGAGGAAACAGGACAGGCATTTGCTGAAGTTGCTGAGGTTAGACTTCGTAAACCACATATTACTATCAAGGTAATCTATATTTTTATATTCTGTGTTATGACCCGGAGACTTAAATGTCTATCGTGCCAAAACATAGTGATTTTCCTCTAGAATGGGGCTAGAGTAATGAAGTTTTACAATGTACTTTCATCCAACAGTCATGTATCAAACTCATGTATCACTTACAGGAATAAACTGTTTTCTGTTATAGCATTGATGGTAAATTATAAGTAAGATATTCGTTTTAAGGAATTTTATACTTACATGAACATTTTAACTAACATTTTAAGATAACACAATTATAGATAACTATAAAACATTCCTTTTGGAAATGCCATTGATTAAAAAGTCATTTGTATTTCAACAGGCTCCGAATACCGGATATATTGGCCAGACATTCAAGGTTGAAGCATCCTTCATGAACCCTCTACCTACACCTCTAACAAACAGTATTCTACGCGTTGAAGGTCCAGGATTTCAGAAACCAGTTACTTACAGAATACAGTAAACATTTTATTTCTCGTATTTTCAGGCGTTTAACCTATTAAAAAACTTAAAAACAAACAAACAAACATGTACAAATATTATTTTGATTCCTTCGATGATTCATTTTCAATGGATTTTATGTTCCGTTTTAAATTTGTTCCCTCCAAAAACGAGGCCTAATTTTGAAGATAATTTTTTAAACTGTCAGTCTGCTAGTTCTGAAAAAGATTCTACACTGCGATGGTTAGTGAGTTATATCTTCTGTATATAAAGTATCTTTTGAATACAGAAAATATGTGTAGTTTATACTAAGTCACTCGAACTACATTGATGGAGGGTACTTGATATTTTAATTTTTCGATGAAATGGTACCCATGTTCAAGTATTCATGTCATTTAATTACTTTTTCTGACGAAGTTCTTCTGTGATTGGTTTGACTTCCTGTAAAATTTACAGGGAAGAAGTGAATACTAGAGGGATTTTAATTGGTCATTTTAAAATTACAAACTGAAATCAGAGAATCCTATTGGTAATCATAAAATTAGTATAATAATTTAAAGAATCTTTCTGAAACGTATGCACGTCCAGATTCTAAAATAATCTAAAGGAGTATCGGAAACAAACTTTCTATTGTAAATTTCTCGGATATTTGAGAAATGTGAACTTCTACACAATAAATATTTTACACTGCTTTGTAAATTTTCATAAATTCTCTAGTAAATACATGTATTTTATTCAACATAAGAATTTGCCGAATTTTAAATGACATTCTAAAATGACGAGATTATACCAATAAAGTCTACGATCCCGGAAAAACATGTGCTTTCCGAAAGACATGTAAAACTAGCTTTACCTCGTCCGAGTATCTTTAAAAGATACTTCTTGTTTGTAATAAAAAAAATAAGAAGTACTCCTGAATTGGATTGGTGGATATTTGACTTTAACGATTATGAAACAAGACATTTTACTTTGCCATATTTATTTTTCAAATACCTGTCAGATTTTCAAAGATGTGCTTGTACATTTTTTTTAATAAATACTTTAGATACTTATCAACCTATCAGAGATGTAGATGTTGGCAAGGGCATGAATGTAACTTTAGAGTTTACACCAGTGAAGGTTGGAGAGAAGGAAATTATCATGAACTTCAGCTCTGATGAACTGGCTAATGTTAACGCGGCACAACCAGTATATATTCATCGGTAGACCAGACGAAATTGCAAAATATATGTACATTGTATAACATTTGTGATGATAAAACATATTCAGCACATATATGTATTGGTGAATATTTGTACCCATACGAATTGTTATGAGTATCGATTATATTCATGCAAAATTATAGCTACTTGACTTTAATACTATTTTATCTACAATATGTCAACATGTAAAATAAATTAAATAAGAGTGCATGCTAAAATGTATGAATAGTATTAATTATCCTATTCACATACAAGGAATGCAACTTACCACTTTTAACATGACACCTCTTTTTTAAACCTAACACGTTATATATCTTGTTAACTATTTTATCATTTTCTAGTATCACAAAAATAACAAGATAAGTTGTTTTTTACCATTGTTATCGAAAAAAGCATTTCCTGACTTGATCATATTCAGATTTACACATTGTTAAATCTATACATTATGTTAAATGTACAATTTTCAAATTGTAAATTACTTGCAATAGATCATGGCCATATTCCTTTGTATTTTTGTATGCTTATTGTACATGTTGTGTTTTATATCTATGTTTCTATATACATGATATACATGTAGTTTCTATAAAGTTGCATCACAACCAGATGCTTTATCTAAAAATATCTTTATTTTCTAGCTTTGTGAGCATTTTAATGAAGAAAAGTTGTTGTGACAGAAATAAACATGGTTATGAATTGTTTGTTTTCGTAGATTTGTGTTATACAAAACTGTTAAATGAAATTGTGTTTTTTTTTCCAATATTGTTCTAAAGCTGTTATGTTTTTCTTTTCATTCTATCGGTTACCTTTAAAATTTCTCTATTCAAATGTTATCATTGTTTTTTTTAATAAACACATATAAGTTTTACTTACAAGAAGAGCGTTTTTATCTCGTTTATTTGACTATAAATCAAATCAATCATTAGAACGTTTGTCTTATCCAAAAAAATAATTGTTTGAGAATTGATCGAGAGCGTCGTTAGAGATGGACAGAAGTTGTGTGCAAGTTTAGGTTTTTCAAAATTTTGGCTATGTGTATCGAGTTTCAGATAACAATAAGTGGTATAAATGTAAACAAATGTGATAAATGTCTCACCATTTTCCTTGTACGAGTACAATATCTTTTGGAACTGATACCGGCCACATGTGTATGCTATTATGAGGTTATTATACATTGTTGAGTACAATACTGAATTATATTGGATGAGGACACAACTGTCAAAACCATATTGGACCGGGTGCTAGTCGAGTCTGATATAGGTTTTGTCGAAGTGGATGAGTCCAACAGAATCCATATTGTTTTAGTTATTTCAAACCACCATTTTTTACATTATGACGGAACTATGTTTCTTTGTGTACAAAAAGGATTTGATATGGATTTTGGGATCTCAATTAATAAAAACGAGGCTATATGGTGTGTGATATGAATTTGATATGAACCTTTTGGACACTGGAAATGGTAACAACGCTATAAAGGGTGTGACATGGATTTTGATCTAGACCTTTTGGACTACGGGAATCAAAACGAGGCTACATTGATATGATTTATATTTGAACATCATGTGTTACATATGCTGAAAGTCTATTAGTTATACTTTATATGATATGAAATAAATTATGATGTGCTTTTCGATCTATTTCTCCGCTTTAAAGGTGACTAGTATATCACCAGATACCAATGCATTTGCATCTTTAGATAAAAACGAAGTCAACATAAAGAATTTAAAGCAGTTTATTTAAACAAGAGAACGTAAACATAACGGTGACGAAAGCATAAAAAACATAACACTCAGTGTGCATAAAACATAAAAAATGTCACTTGTGTGAATACAAACACACATACATAGCGTATACATCTCATGTATTACACATATACGAAAACATTTACGGGTTACATATGTATATAATACAAACATATCCAAAAGATACATTAGGTCCTCAGACAGTAACTATTTGTAATAAACATTTACATCTTGAAAACATAGATATAATCAATTAGATCATGTTATCATTTTGATTTGATTTGATTTATTTAAGAAATACCTATACATATTATACCTAACCGATATATCATATCTATTCAAACAGCTTTATAAAATTTAATAGAAAAAAAGCAAAAACAAAATTAAGCCAAAAAAAAAAAACGCTCAAAAACAGATTCATCTTGACTGCCGAGTTGCATGTTACTGACAGCACTGAACTATTTACTGATTGTGATGTAAGGTATATGTTTGTTACATGTCTGAAAATAATACTCATCTAAGCATAACCATTCAACATTTTGGATTTCAGATGACAAATATGCATAGAAAATGACTCTATACTGCAACTTTAGATATATACATGCACTCTAATAGTAAGAAAACCACCGTCTTGGTTACAAATTACATATGACGGTCTCTTATTTATGTGAAGCAGATAATATTCAGATTTCTTGGAGTATAAAAAGTTGCAATGCTTTAATTTCTAAAGTGTATAAAACTAAATTGATTTTATTTGTATGAAATAAACAAGCCCACAAAGCAAATACATGCTTCGTATAAAAACATTGTTCTATTATGCAGTACTCACTAAGAGGTTTTAACAAGCAAGCAAGAAAAAATATATATAAATGAGAGCTGTTATTAAAGTCCAAGGATCCTATCTTAACTTATTGAAATAAGTTGAAACATTCACTGTTCCACTGTAAAGCAATCCCTCAAGTTTTATAAAAAGCAAATACTAAATAAAAAAGACACCCATTCACCTATATCAATGAGTGCAGATAAAAGTATATCACTAACACAGTAACACATGTGTTTTATTTGGTAACTGTCACAGAGTATAAGCCGTCCACACCTTCAATTTGAGTTGAGTTAAACACGACAATGATATCTTTCTTTCCGGCTTTAACTGGAGTTAGCTCAAACATATATTCGAACATTTTCCCCTTCTCTACATTGCTAGAAAATAAATCGAAATTGTTATTAAAGTTGTTCCTAAAATAATTAATTAAATATAACAATTTGATATTTCACCATGATAACATTAGAGAATTGCTAGTAAATATCTTACAGAAATAACATTTGAAAAACTGAACATCCTGAGTACCTTAACAGTCATGTTGAATATCTTTGGCTTTGCAATCAGTTGGATAGTTTAAAAACTACTTCATTTTAATCATCTACGCCAGCATGGTAAGTTTCATCTAATTTTAAAGGAAGGGTATATACTGACAACATGCAGCAATTAAGATGCCATCAGTAAGGAGTTTTATGGATGGAACTGAATGAAAATGTCTTTTAGCATGAACTTTACTGTCATCCGACCAGTTCAATTTATAATTTAAGATTATTTTAATAGTTATTGCATTCCGATGCATCGAAAAGGAATTTAAATAAAAAATTAAATTGTGCAAGAAAAATTACCTCTGGTTTACAGTTTTTGGTTTCTGATTACCAGGTCCTTCTATAACTAGCTTGCAGTTTGTCAAGGTGACAGGTAGGGGGTTCTTCACCGAAACTTTCACTTTAAATTTCTCCCCGACCCTCGCATTGCTTGGTGCCTGTAATTGAGATACATAATAATTAACTCAAATTTGCTAGTAAACGTTTTAGAAACTCTTTATTTTCTTTATATCGAACCGAATAGACACTTGAGTGTATTTAAAAATCCCGTTCTGTCGTATGATGTAATGTACAATAACATTCTTCAAATTAACATGTGAGAACAAAGACTGATCTGGATGTTTTCAAACATTTTGCGTTTGCTGTTTTTTAAACATAATTTTTACAAATCGGTAACTAAAATTATTGAAGTATGGGTTTTAAGAATAAATAGGAGGTGTTACTTATCTGGCAATTATACTTTCTGTATTGTGTAAACACTGTTAAGAGGTTGACAAATTCATGTGAAATATTCACCTCGATTGTAAGGTGGGGTTTCCTCAACCTCATGTCATCATTGTAGACAAATGTTTGTTTTGTCTCATGAACCATTAACATACAAGATACACCAAACATACAACCGTCGGTTAGTTTCGACAGGTAATCGTTTACCGGTACTTCAGCCCTGATTGTCTTGCCTAGAAGAGAAATTTAAAAAATGGAAGGCAAAAAAATAATTATTAGTTTAAATTGGTTTTCATATTTTGTTTACAGGATCAATTATTAATCAACAAATGTATGTATGTTTCTTTCTTCTACAATGGCACTTGTCACCAACAATAGTGAGCAACGTTGTACATATAACATCTTCTTTTCATATCCAGCGTAACACATCCCTAGTGTATGTACACCAGTATATAAATAATTAGAAAAAACAAAAGCACGAAGCTAAAAAAACACTGACGCAGAATTGACACACATGTGACATATTTAATGTTGTAGAATAGAATAAATAGTAATTAAAATGTACTTGAAAACCAAGACCAATCAATCAATGGCGACAAAATATAAGAAAACACAGTTCAGTCTGACTATAACTTACTTTCCTTGCCATTCATAGACACGCTGCTGATTTTCTCCTTATGAACATCTTTAAACGTGATGCCTGTTTGATAAACCGTGGAAATCACCAGTGTCCCAGTAACAGTCCGTAAGTTACCACTAGTATTTTTCATGTTTAATTCCAGCTTGAATGGATCACCAATAAACGTGTTCTTATGATCAAACTTTACTTCAAACTCAACATCCTGAAAGTCACAGCAATCCTTTGTAACAGTCATTATGTATAAACAAGAGGGCCAAGATGGCCCTGAAGTCGCTCACCTGTATATAGGCCCCCAGAGCGGGGCCAGTTTAAACCCCAGGGCTTTTATTTGAACAAACTTGGTAGACACCCAGTAGAAGATGTTTCATGCTAAACATCTAAGGTCTAGCTTGTTGGGTTTTTTAAAAGAAGATTTTTTTCAAGTTTATTCTTTACACATATAGTTAAAAACCATGACATACCTGGGGCAGGACCAGTTTTGACCCCAGGGCTTTTATTTGAACAATCTTTGTAGACACTTACTAAAAAATATTTCATGCTTAATATCTAAACTCTAGCTATTCGGGTTTTTTTCAAAGAAGATTTTTAAGTATTGCTATACACATAAAAAAATTATAAGGAAAATCAATGTCCCCCGGGGCGGGCCAATTTTGACCCAAGGGCTTTTATTTGAACAAACTTTGTAGATACTCACTAGAAGATGCTTCGTGCATAATATCTAAACTCTAGCTATTTGAGTTTTTTCAAAGAATTTTTTTTAAGTTTTTGCTATACACATATAAGGAAAATCAATGACCCCTGGGGCGGGGCCAATTTTGACCCAAGGGCTTTTATTTAAACACACTTGGTAGACACCCATTAGAACATGTTTCAT